AACAAGACTTGAAGCTATTATGCTCCATCTTTTGAAATCCCAGTGTGCGTACTTGTCTACTAGTTTCCTGAGAATACAAGTTATTTTGAAAGAGTCGATCAGCAATTAAGCTGGTGAGTTCATAAGATTTTAGTGATGTAAGTATGTTGTAGAAAGTTGTAGTAAGTTGTAAGTTTTGTTCAGAAAAGTTCGCCTGTTCCTCCAGAAAATCCTATATTTCCTGCTTTGATGAAAGATAAGTAAAAATGACTCTACAATCCTTTCGATGAGTACTAAATGGATATAAGTTATATAGAACTCATAGTAAACAAACAATCAATTGTGTGTATCTGCCCTAAGCCCACAACCAAACAAGGAACAACAAATGAGGCAGATGGCACACATCCCATTGATTGTTAGATCATTGTTGTATATAACCCTGGTGTATTCACTTGGTACTCACAGAGTTAACTGTAATAGTTCCCTTATATTTGATGAAAAAGATTCTTTAAGAAAACCCTTATTTCTTATATTAAAAATAGTAACCACAGTGGTTCCTCCTATAATCTCTGAGGTTATACTAGCTATATATAATCTAATATCGAATAGATAGTTAATTGTGTGAATCTGCCCTAAGCCCACAACCAAACAAGGAACAGGAAATGAGGCGGAAGGCACACATCTAACTATCTGTCGGGTATTAATTATATATAAATCTGATGTATAAACTAAGGTATTATAGAATTTATCACCTAAGGTCCTTTAAGTTATACTGGTTTAATAAAATGGATTAAACCCTTTACTGGTAAGTTTCTAGTTTTGTATACCAAAAGTTCTGATTTGAAAAGTATGTTTTGTACTAGAAAACTGTGCATTGAATTAGTGTCCTATGACCTGACCCATACCTGGTACCCCTTATGATGACTTAATGTATACGGAACACATATATAACTAAGATCGAATGAATAATAGGCTAGGTGAATCCGCTCTAAGCCCACAACCAAACAAGGAACAACAAATGAAGCGGTAAGCGCACATCCTATTACCTGTCAGATCCGATTAATATATATTCCTGATGTATCTACTAAGGAATCATAAGGTTAGGATTATAGGCCCCCTATTAATTGAATGTTCATGTTACGAAGAAGTTATGTATCTTATTTATTATCGTCGGGTACTTTACAGATGTACCCTTTATAAATAACTTAGGTTTGGTATAACTATCCCCTCGTGTTTGCTAACCCTGATACGTGTAATCGTACTGGTGTTAACGCAAACCCGGAAAGATATATTACTATGTTTTATCACCTCGTGCCTGCTAACCCTGGTACGTAAAATCGTACCGGTGTTAACGCAAACCCGAAAATATATATTATTATGTTTTATCACCTCGTGCCTGCTAACCCTGGTATGTGAAATCGTACTGGTGTTAACGTAAACCCGAAAAGATATACTAACATGTTTTTCCCGGTACTTATTATAGTATGTTCCTCCCTGTACTTGTTATAGTCTGTTCCTATCTATACTTGTTATAGTGTGAACTGAACCCCTAAACTATACCTATTATAGTTTACTAATATGTTTACTTGAACTGATAATGTCTTGAAGAAAAGACTCATTTTATCTACTAAGTTATGATTATGCTTTAAAAACGGAGTTTTGTAAACTATGAAGTAACATAACTTTAAAAGAGTTTTTGAAATATTTTGATCACTTATAAAAGACATAAGCAATATTTTGAAAGACGTTTATAACAAACATTTACACAATTATCATTGTGTTCAACTTGTACCCCCCCCCCCCCCCTAAAAGCATTTAAAACAGTTAAAAGATTCATTACGGGGTATGAACTCATCTGATGTGGGTAATTCAAACGAATATGGGCGTAAGGATGAGAAGCTCCACGAAATGAACTCCCAAGACACAAACGGGTCCTAAATGGCATAGGCATATAATGTCATATATTGGCATGAATATAGTGTTTAAAGCAACTAACATGCTAGGAAACACCCTTAGGGACTTGTACTAAGTGTTGCAATCACATGTGATTGATCAAAGGGGAGTGTACGACCACAAAGAGGAGTTTACGACCACACAAGGGTGTTCACGGCCCTAGAGTTTACGGTCAGGGAGTTTACGGTCAGAGTGTTCACGACCAGGGAGTTTACAGCCAGGGGTTTACGGCCAGATGAGTTTATGATCGTAAACTCCTGGGAATCATCCACCAATTGTTTGATCTAGGTATTTAGGCTAATGATTCTACTAGATAGCAAGTGTATGGAAGGAATACTCACAATTTAGAAGCCTTAGAAGGTGTTTTCGGCCACCAAGAACAAGTGTGTGTTCTTGGTGTTCTTGGTGAAAGATGAAGATTTGAAGATCTAGACAAAAGGGGTGTTTTCATGGATGAATCAAAGAATGATACATGTTTAAGAAGGATAACAACAACTAGAAGGAAGAACACTTACGTTTTTGGAGGATTTGGATGAAGAACTTGATGATACTTGAGAGAGTTTTGAGAAGATTTCGGCCAAGGAATGAAAAGAATGAAGAAATGAAGTGCCCTTATATATATATATAGGAGGGGTTTACGGCCATGGTTAAGTTTACGGCCGTAAACTCCATGTTTACGGCCGTAAACGCCACATGATGGAGTTTATGGCTTGAATGCTGTACAGTGAATCTAGCAGGTACTTCCTAACACTCATTCCTTGAATGTATAAGGCTAGAACACTCGGACAGTCCCTTATCAAGGCTAAAAAGGTAGCAGAAACGAGTCTGACTCTTGTTTGACATTACTTATAAAGCAAAAAAATTTATGGTTGTCACACGGGGTACGAGGAATCTGGTTTGAAGGGTCGCATATGGTTGTTGGATTTTAGAAGTGCTATAATGCCAAAATGGTCCTGCCCTCCGGTGTTTCATGTCTGCCCCTGTCTGTACCTAGTAATTGAAAAGTATTGTTTAACACTTGTAAAACAATAATTGCTTGTAAATAGTCACAATAAATATTATACTAAAATCTAGCGGTAATTATACTAGGTTTCGTCAAAGGAAAATAAAATTGTTAGAAGCGAAGCGCTGCCCGAGTTTGGAATCATCACTTTAACAAGTGAGTGCATAGTTACTTTAATCTTACAGATATATATGAAATATTTCATCTAAATTACGTGTTATGTGTGCATATTATCTGTGTTCCTGATATTTATACTAGATGAACGATTTATACATGTTTACTTTATTTAAACTGTATACGTATTTTTATACTTATAGATATATATTGGGTAGCGACGGGTGATGAGATATAGGTGATGATAGAAAGCTGATGATAGATAGGTAATGATAAATAGGTGATGTGAGAGGAGTGGAGATACCATAACTTTGACCGGCAATGTGGCGATGTAGTCATCTATCAGAGTATAGATGGCGACCACAGACTATTTTAGACAGTCATGTGGAAACACCAGCAGGATCATAACCTGTAAGTGATGAATTACGAGTTTAGGTGATGTTGTAACTATGTATTCATGCGATGATAATCTAACCCTTACTATGAATTACGAGTTCAGGCGATGTTGTGACTACGTAATCATGCGATGATACTCTAACCCTTACTATACACATATTGAGGGAGTAACCCCCGAATCAGTACTGTCTATGCGATGTAGGCGACGATCCTTAGGAAAAGTCCTTAGGAACAAATATATAAATAAATGCGATGTAAGGAGATGAAAGGTAAATACGATGTAGGAGATGACCCTTAGGATGAGTCTTTAGGGAAGATTAAATGAAGAAAATGGGGATGGGTAATTAGGTTAATTGTTTGACATGACTTATGTAAAGAAACAAATAAACTATATTATTGTGGGTTGAAAACCCTATGTACTCATCAGGTTTCCCAAACTGACCCACTCAGTTTATTTGTATCATAGGTGTCGATACGAAGCTACATTACACTGAGAGATTAAAGGAGATGTAAATCACTAGTGTGAATGAATGTAATGTCTGTTTATGCTTATATTTCTGTATTGACAATGACATCCAAAAGTTTTAATATAAAAAAAAATACATTTCTTCGGAAATACTTTGATAATATATTTATCATGTTTTCCGGGAACAAATTCTGCAATATTATTCTTTAAAATAAATACTCTGATTTTCAAATAAGCATAAATAGAAATTTTAAAATGACCGTGAATTTGGGGATGTCATAGGTATGAGGTCCATTGACGTTGGTTCCTACTTTTACTTGGGTTTTTTCTGTATCATTACTCTAGTCTTGAGTGTTTCTGACATTCTGCATTTGGTACAAGGTTATTTGTCTATTCCAATGGTAATCTCCGCGTTCATGCGTGTTCATTACTTCATTTCTTTCAAATCTAAGTACATCTAGTCAGATCCTGGATGGATGAGACACTTTTATCTGTGAGTTTTGTCTAAAACTATGTTCACGGGTTTGGTTCATAAAGTATCACGTCCTGTCATCCCTGAGTCCTGTTTATCCGGTCTTCACAGAGCTTCACTCGCTAAGCCTTTCTCTCTCATAGTCTCGAGTAAAACTTCTCGAATTTGAGTTATAGGTTATGAATGGATATTCATAGTTAATACTCGTACTCAGCGGGGTTTGGTACTTTCGTTCCAGCTCAAGACATTTGCTAACATGCCAATTCTAATTACAATGATAACGAATGACAACAAATTTCTCATTTATGTTATTCAACCAAAAACATAGGCAAAAACCTTGCCTCAATTCATCTATGTGCACCTCAATCCTTTATGTTCATGTTGTCGTATACGCACAAGTTCTCTGCTCTTTCAGAAAAATAGGATTGGTGTGTTACGCCCTAGTTGTTCGAACTTCTGGAATATATTCCCTTGCTTATCTTTCCAGTTAGACCTTGTTTCCTTTTGGTGCTAACATAGTTGATGGTTGGGGCACCAAAGAGAAGTTCTTGATGGATCACTGGTAGTAGCCATCATAAATTCTTTTGTTGTTATCCTCCTCCTCATCAACACATAACTTACTCAACAAAAGGATCATTTGATGTCCTATTCATATGCACTACATCATCATTAAATTCTAACTCAACATTCCGAAGTTCATCTATGCTATCTTCATTTTCACCATCAATACAAGACTCACGTCCATCATCATCATTATCTTCATCATCAAGCCACCCATCAAAACCAACCCCAATACGATCCACATAAACAAAAATTACACCATCTGTTCCATAAGCATCAAAAATAAAAGTAGCATATTCCACATCATCTGAATTGGGATTAAGCCATTCCACGAGGGAAATGCATGGTTCACAGTAGTATAACTTTTTACAATCTTCATGCATGAAACGTTTGAAGAAGGTCGTACACTGAGAATAAGTCATAGAAGAAAAGTCAACATCATTGAACATGGTTTTCACACCACCATCGTAAGAGAAAGGATTACGAGTAAATACCCTTTGGTAGTTGAGTTATCATAAACAATCCATTGGGTTCCGCTTGTGCCATTGCAACAACTTTTTTGGTACTTTAGCTCGATCACAAAAATGCTTCACAAACCTTAACTCAGTTTCGTTTAAAGTGAAAAATGAAGAATACAGGTCGACACGTGAAGATAGGTTTTAACCATCATATATCATTTATTGACGTGACATATCTCACATGTCATCGGATTAGCCAAAAAATAAATATTAATTGACACATATGCAATGTCAACCGAAAAACCGTTTAAAATCGGTGAAAATGACTAAAGTGAAAAATCAAATACGAGTTTAGTGGTCTAATGTGCAAAAAAAAAAAAAAAAAAAACGTTTAGTGACGAAATCGAAAAAATACCAAAACTTTAATGTGCTAATGTGTCATTTTTCCAAATTTTCTTCAAGAAATACTCCATATGTTTAAAAAAATTATAGTGTCATTTTCCCAAAATTTTCTTCAACAAATACTCGATATATGCTTAAAAAAATTACAAAAATAGTATTTGAGTAATAAAAAATTTATAAATATTTAAAAGACAAAACTTTAATGTAAGTTTTCAACTCGTATCATATGCAAACCAGAGTCCACCCGCTTCGTATGTTACGCAAAAAAACCCCAAACCCCTTTTCCTTTCTCAGCCTCCACACTCTTCATATCTGCAGAGTGCAATCCTACTTCTCATTTTTCTGCGATCAGTAAGTCATTCTCTCTCTTTCGATATACAATATATTTGATATGGAATATACGTGAGCACATCCTTTTAATTTTGATTTCATTCTCATAACTATTAAAATGCAGAATTGATGTCTAAATAGTTGTAGATTGAGTTTTCCATTGTGAGATGTAATACTTGTTTGTGCGAATGTTTATTTTCTTATCTGCTTTTTCTTTGGAAGGATTAGATTCGAATCGATTTTAATGTTGAAAAGTATCCCAATTGGGCTTTAGGCTAATTCGATAAAAACATTAGGGCAAAGAGAACGCAAATCAGATTTTCATCAGCCGCATTAGGAGGAGAAACTACTGTAAGTTCCACCGCAGCCACCAGCATGACAAACACAAATCCTGAGGTTCCTCTTTCTGAGGAGGAACTTGAGAGGAAGAAGAAGAAAGAAGAGAAGGTATTTCCTTTTACTTTTTTCAACTTCACTCGATTCTATTCAGGCTTTCTGATATTAACTTAGTATGGAGTAGGAGCTCAAGTTTTTTTTTTTTTTTTTTTCTTTTGTGGGTAGGCAAAAGAGAAAGAGATGAAAAGGTTGAAGGCTGCACAAAAAGCTGAAGCAGCCAAACTTAAGGTAATCTTAGATTGTTAAGTAGTATCTTACTTTAGTGAATTTGTAATAATATTAGTTTAATGATCAATTGATTTCATTGATACACATTTAAGGCACAACAAGGACCTTCTATCTCAAAAGCCAGTAAGAAGAAAACAGTAAGGGCAGATGCAAGTGAAGAAAATCCAGAAGACTATATAGATCCAGAAACAGCTTCTGGTGATAAGAAAAAACTTTCTCAACAAATGGCAAAGCAGTTCTCTCCTGTTGCAGTGGAGAAATCGTTAGTTTTTCTATGAATTCTTTTTCTTTCACAGCATCATCTAGCTCAAATTTCATTGATAATACTTCTATCAGAAATCTTGTTTCTTATTATAAAATTTTAATTACTTATTGCTAGATGGTATGCATGGTGGGAGCAATCAGGTTTCTTTGAGGCAAATTCCAGCAGCTCTAAACCTCCTTTCACTATCGTGAGTCTCTTGTGATTTTCTCTGCTATTTCGTGTCTATAAATGTTCATAAACAATGATGTATCTATAGATCTTTTTGAACAGATTGGTTTTGGGATTGTGGCTTGTGGTTGTATAAAGCCATTGATTAATGTAATTTGGTTATGGATGTCTTGTTTATGTGTAAATGCAGGTTCTTCCACCTCCTAATGTGACTGGAGCTCTACACATTGGTCATGCTTTAACTGCTGCTATCCAGGTTTCATGACTTACCCTCATCTCTTATGAATTTTACAATTCTTTCCTTTTTTCAATTTTATTTTGATATCGATTATCATTTTAGGATACAATTATTCGTTGGAGGAGAATGTCGGGATACAATACCTTATGGGTGCCTGGAATGGATCATGCAGGAATAGCAACTCAGGTTGAATTTACTTTTAAGGAATAGATATTTCACTAGTTGTTACACTTGGGTGCTGTTTCTTTTTGACTTAATGAACTTTAACCTAATCCTGTTTCTTATTGACTTAATGCAAAAAGAATGGCTTAATCCGATTATCTTGCTTTTCTCTTTCATTACATAATAATATACATATACTGTTGGTTTTCTTATGTTTATCTAATAAAGATTTCATTGACAGGTGGTGGTGGAGAAAAAAATCATGAGAGAGAGAAAAATGACACGTCATGATGTGGGTCGAGAAAAGTTTGTAGAGGAAGTGAGTTTGACTTCACATCACATGTTATATCTTGCTTATCAACTTTGAAGTTCATATGTTTAACTTAACTTCAAAGATCTTGTGTTAATTTGATATGGATGATATTGATAGGTATGGAAATGGAAAGAGGAATATGGTGGAACTATATTGAAACAACTCAGGCGTTTGGGTGCATCTCTAGATTGGTCACGTGAGGTAAAACCTAGAAAAAAGATAACTACTAGATACATATATATATATATATATATATATATATATATATATGTATATATATATATATATATATATATATATTTGATATCAGTTTTATCTGAGGTTTTGATTATGTTTAATTTTATATATGTATAACAAGTTTATAAATGTTCCTTAAATAATGACAGTGCTTTACCATGGATGAGAAAAGGTCAAATGCTGTAACAGAAGCTTTTGTCAGGCTTTACAAGGAGGGTCTTATTTATAGGTAATATTCACATCAAGAGATTTCAATATCATCATTAACAAAAGCTTTATTTTCCCTCAAGTTTTTGGTAATTGAAATCTCATTTTATAAATTAACTTCTTGGATGCCCTTTTGACTTTTCTTCAGAGACCTAAGGCTAGTCAACTGGGATTGTGTCTTGAGAACAGCAATATCTGATATTGAGGTACACCATAAAAGCCATTTCCATTTTCTCAACAGTTATATACAATACATGAGTATGTTTCATTTTACATTTTTGCCCCTATATAGGTGGACTATGTTGATATTAAAGAGAAGACACCTCTAAAGGTCCCAGGGTATAAAAACATGGTTGAATTCGGTGTTTTAACCTCTTTTGCCTACCCTTTAGAAGAAAATCTTGGAGAAATTGTGGTGGCTACAACTAGAGTTGAAACAATGCTTGGAGATACTGCTATTGCTGTTCATCCAGAAGATCCAAGATACACTCATCTTCATGGGAAATTTGCATGTCATCCATTTAATGGAAGAAAACTTCCTATAATCTGTGATTCTATCCTTGTTGACCCTAAATTTGGAACTGGTGCAGTCAAGGTAATCTAAACCCTAAACCCTAAACAGTTGACCAAATTCTTTTTGTGATGATTTTGATGGTGTTTAATTGTTTATGCAGATAACTCCAGCACATGATCCGAATGATTTTGAAGTTGGAAAGCGTCATAAACTGGAGTTCATCAACATTTTTACTGATGATGGGAAGATAAATAGTAATGGAGGTTTAGGGTTTGTAGGGTTGCCACGTTTTGAAGCTCGTGTGGCTGTAACTGAGGCTTTGAAGTCTAAGGTATTTCTTTGTAACTTTTTCTCCCATCCCAAAAGATGTTAATGCCCTTCTTGTCCTCATCATAATATCCATGGTCTGTTAACTGTGTATGCATACAATACAATACAGGGACTTTATAAAGGGGAAGAAAAGAATGAGATGCGTTTAGGTGTTTGTTCTAGAAGCAATGATGTGGTTGAACCTATGATTAAGCCTCAGTGGTATGTTAACTGCAATGGTATTGCAAAAGAAGCTCTTGATGCTGTTATGGATGAAAATAACAAGAAAATTGATATCATTCCAAAACAATATGCTGCTGAATGGAAAAGGTCAAACACTCATTTTTAGCTTCATTTTTTTTTTTTCTGAAAACATTTTGTAACATGTTTAAATAAATTACAGGTGGCTTGAGAACATTCGTGATTGGTGTATATCAAGGCAGCTATGGTGGGGCCACAGGGTTCCTGCATGGTATGTGACATTGGAGGATGATAAACTGAAGGAACTTGGAGCATACAAGGATCATTGGGTGGTTGCTAGGGATGAGAAAGAGGCTGAAGGGGAGGCTAAAAGAGTCTTTTCAGGGAAAAAATTTCAGTTAACTCAAGATCCTGATGTTTTAGACACCTGGTTTTCTTCAGGGCTTTTCCCATTATCTGTATTAGGGTGGCCTGATAATACTCAAGATTTCAAGACTTTTTATCCAACTGCTGTTCTTGAAACTGGACATGACATTTTAATTTTTTTGGGTTGCTCGTATGGTGATGCTTGGGATGAAATTGGGAGGTGATGTTCCTTTCCAAAAGGTTAGTTATATAACTTTAATAATTAATATTATTGAAAACAATGCAATAATGCTTGATATTAAAAACTATTCTTTAGGTTTATTTACATCCAATGATTCGCGATGCACATGGAAGAAAAATGTCCAAATCTTTGGGCAATGTGGTGGATCCTATAGAAGTAATATGTGGAATAACCCTAGAGGGTCTTCATAAGAGACTTGAGGAGGGTAATTTGGACCTTACTGAATTAAAAGTTGCCAAAGAAGGGCAAAAGAAGGATTTTCCTAATGGTATTCCTGAATGTGGGGCAGATGCCCTTCGATTTGCCCTTGTCTCATACACTGCTCAGGTATCATCTATTTTATATTATACCCTTCTACACTTTATATATATTCTCTAAAAGATTTTGTATTCATGGAATTGGAATTCAAGATTCCATTCCATGGTTTATTTGGTTGCCACATGGGTCGAGTCCTTCAAAGTTTGATGGGGAAGGAGTTCAGTAACTTCAATTCACTCTTCTGTTTTTGCAAAAAGACCAAAATACCCTTATTGTCTAATTTGAAATAAAAAAAATTCAAAGCATTATATTTTTTTGACAGATTTTGCATTGTTAGAATTTCAATTCTTTTGATAGATCCCATTCCTTAAAAAACATTCATAATAGTTTATCGATAAAAAATAGGGTTAATCTGTAAAAAAACCTTATATTTTGTGTTTTTTTTTCTGGATTAAACCTCAAATCTATCTTTTGATGAAAAAGACCTTTTATTTTTTTTTGTTCTTTCTGAAAAAGCCCTCAACTTTGTATTTTTTCCGAAGAAACCGCTCAACCTTTTAAATGCTTCCAAATAAACCTTTACATTTTACAATTTTTTTCGGAAAAAATACAAAGTTGAGGGCTTTTTTTAGAAAAAATGATAAAATACAAGGCCTTTTTCAGGCAAAAAAAATTGAGGTTTAATCCGGAAAAAACACAAAATATAAGGTATTTTTTGAGATTAACCCTAAATATTATTGTTAAACTTGAACTATCTCTATGCAATAAACAAAATTCAATTTCGTTCTTCTGTTTTTATAAAAAGTCCAAAATACCCTTGATAACATTGTTTCTTTGCATGATTCCAGTCAGATAAAATCAATCTAGACATACAACGAGTGGTGGGATACAGACAATGGTGTAACAAACTATGGAATGCAGTTCGATTTGCCATGACAAAACTCAATGACAATTATACCCCTCCAAAAACAATAGACCCAAAGAACATGCCCTTCAGTTGCCAATGGATTCTTTCAGTTCTCACCAAAGCCACATCCAAAACCATATCATCTTTAAACTCCTATGAATTCTCAGATGCATCAAGTGCTGTTTATTCATGGTGGCAGTTTCAGCTCTGTGATATCTTCATTGAAGTAATTAAACCTTACTTCTTTGGTGATGATGCAGCTTCAAAGGCTTATGCACAAGATACTTTGTGGGTGTGTTTGGATACAGGGTTAAGATTGCTTCATCCTTTTATGCCTTTTGTTACTGAAGAATTATGGCAACGACTTCCTTCACCTAAGCATTGTGAAAGAGAGAAGTCTATTATGATTTGTGAATACCCTTCTGTTGTAGAGGTTAGATCTTGAAATATATTATACTATACATAATAATAATAATAAACAAATAATTGTAACTAATTTTTATTTTCCATTTATTGGATATAAATAGTCATGGAGAAATGAAAAGATTGAATATGAGATGGAGGTGGTTGAGTCTGCTGTGAAATCACTCAGATCAATTAGGGCAAACTTCCCTGCACAGGAAAGAAATGAAAGGTATTTTATTAAAATCAATAATTGTAAATATATTATTTGTATTTTCTCATAAAGAAATATTTTTTTTATTTTTTTTGGATAGGCGAGCTGGATTTGCAGTTTCTAGAAACGAACAAACTACAGAGCTTCTGAGACGCCATGAAATGGAGGTTTCAACCTTAGCCAACTTATCCTCATTCACGGTATGTGAAAAAGACGAAAATACCCTTCTCATGTAACATGTAATATTTTATGACATTTTGGGGTTAAAACTTAAAATTGTCAGGTTCTGAGTGAAAATGATGCTGCTCCAGCTGGATGTGCAGTGTCAGTTGTAAACCAATCACTTTCTGTTTATCTAAAGCTTCAAGGATCCATTGATGTTAAAAAGGAACGTGAAAAGCTCAATGCAAAGTTGACAGAGTTACAAAAGTAAGCACATCATTTACTTTTTTGTAAAGTCTTGTTTCTTTGACTTTCTGTATTTAGTCAAAAAAACATGTTTGACTTTGAGCAGGCAAAAGGATAGTTTGAACAAGGCGATGAGTGCTAAAGGGTATGAAGAGAAGGTTCCGGAACATATAAAAGAAGAAAACATGGCTAAATTGACAATGCTAATGCAACAGTTAATGTCTTGTGAGGAAGCTACTCAGCACTTTGAACGCGAAGTGGCTTCAAAAGCAGAGATCTAAGTCAACCCTCAGAGGCATTTATTCAAATGACAATTAGGGAAACAAGAGTTGAAGATTTTGATACAATTTTGTGAGATTATTTGTATTTTTATCTTGTTATGATAACATTTATATACCATGCTCCTGTTTTGTTGAACATTTTAGCTTCACGGATTCATTTGGACAGATTAGTGACTAGAGACAAAGCTGAGTTATGGTGGGGGATTGATATCCATACCTTGATATTTACAACAAAATGAAACTATATATATATATATATATATATATATATATATATATATATATATATATATATATATATATATATATATATATATTTTGGAATCAAGGCTTCCAAAGAGCTTACAATATAAATGTAACATCCTAATCGTGGGCTTAGAATAATATAGGTTATTTTAGTGAAAATAATCTTTGTGAAAAATAAATTAAAAAAATAGATATAGTAAAATAAATGTTTTTAATTAAATGAAATAATATCTAGTTAATTGAAATAAAGATGTGCGATTAATGTTAAGAATTTATTTAAAGGATTAATAAAGTGAAATTTGAGAAATTTTGAAAGTAAGAATCAAAAGTGTCAAACCGAACTGGTCATATCTATATTTGACTTAGTCAAGGGCTTAATTGTTAGAGAGTTAAAAGAGTGGGGGAAAAAGTCTAAACTATGGGAGTTTATTTAATGTTTTTATCAAATGGTGTCATTGTTTTGGAAATTGGATTCTAAGAGGATCAATAATGTCGATAGGCCATAGATTAAAAGTATCTACTTTCCATCTCTCCCATTTGAGTTAGAGATCATGATTTGACCTTGCTATCGCAATTTCAGAGTGAAAGGATGAAAATGAAATGAAGTGTGAATGAGATTGAAGCAAGAAAGGTTGACTGAAGTAGTGGAAAACTTAGAAGGTAAGGGCGCGTTTGGTTGTGAAATTTTTTTCAGTTTTCTAGGAAAATTTTCCAAGAAAAACGGAAATTTTGAAAACTCGTTTGGTTCGTTCAGTTTTCCAAAGTTTTCTAAGAAAATGAAAATTTTCAGTTTTCCAAATTGTATGTAAATTAGAAAAGTGATTTTTACAATTTTCCAAAGTTTTCCAAATTTCTAAGATGAAAAATGAAAACTCCACTCGTTCCAACCAAACGCGTTTTCATTGAAAATTTAAAATGAAAACTCAACCTTATTTTCTGAAAACATTTTCATAGAAAATGAAAACAGTTTTTCACAACAAAACGCACCCTAAATCTCTTCCCCATCTCTTCTCATTCATATCCATGGTTTGTGTATTTGCTTCAACTATGAATTCCATGAGTGATTCCAAAGAATATATGAGTTCTTAGTGTTGAATCACTTCATTACTCATCTTATAATCCACCATTTCCATTTTAGTGGTTTGGTTTAGAGTTTGTGGGAGGTTTGGCGATTTCTAAACCTAACTCATATGGAATTTGAGATTCATGGAAGGAATTGAGCTTATAAGTTTGCTTTAATCACTAGAACCAAAAGCAATCATCACTTTATCAATGAAATGATTGATTCCACCATTTATTATGAGATTAGGGGTTTTCTAACCCTAACTTCATGACTGAGTGGTGCATTGACTGAAATAAGTTGTACATTAGTTCCTAGTCATAGTATTCGATAAAAATCTTGATTAACCGGAGTCTATATTGATTCATATGTTAACTTTAGTCATAATTCCATAATACCATCGAAATTTGTGGTTGGGATTGATGATTCCAATGGTGATTCACCATTAGAGTTAAATGAAATGACTTTGAAACTATTTAAACTTCATTAAACATTGATTTATTTTATGAATGAATTAAAGTGATCTCAACCTTTAAAGGTTTTTTTTCAAAGGGTTATATGAATTTGCAACATCTATAAAGGATTGGAACACAACAACTTTATAATTATGCTTGGAACGAAATCATGACTTAGGAAGGAATTTAAATTAGAATCAATGTCTTTGAGTTATGGTTTGTAAGTTTTGGAAATATGCTCATAGTCACAAAAAGTTAGTAATATTTCTATAATTATCATGTTCCTTCTAGGTTACATAGAAGATATGATTTAAGTATAAAATAATAGAAGATATTATTGATGGACTAGTTTTTTAACTTATCATAAGATGAAAAGTTAATTAGAAGCTAATAATGTTAAGGGGTTTAAGTTTAATTATCCTTTGATTCATATTGTTGGTGCTTATCCCATAAATAAAGGGATAAGAGTACCAAGTCAAGATAAAGCCACACTTAAGAAACCCTAGCTGATTCTCTCCCAAGATCGACCACTTTTTCCCTCCAAAAATGCTCTCTAGCTTTGAGCTCTCTCTTCATTCTTTCAACATTTACCCAACCTTCTAAGGTTAGGGATTTTGGCTATCATAAGTAGATATGTTATTCGAGTCGGAATAGGACCGAACCTGAATAACCCGAAAACCGAGTAAGGCTAATTGGAGGAACCAAAACCCAGACCGATTAACCTAATACAGACAGTTTGGTTATTACCCGAATAACCCAAATAACATTCACAATATGATTAACGACCTAATATATGTAACACCTATAAAATTTAAACCAAATTTTAACTTTTCAAAACATTTAAAAATCAAGAGTTATAACAAATCTTTGTTTTCAAAATAGTCTTTATCAGAGTTTTCCCAGAAACATAAACAAAATGTGAGGAGCTGTACGATCACGCCTTTGCCTTGTCGCGATCCCGCGATCCCCTGATGTACCTGAAACAATAAAATGAAACTGTAAGCTCGGAAGCTTAGTGAGTTCCCCTAAAATACCCATACTCACACAATACAAATATAACCATAAACAACATACTATGAGTCCAATCAACCATCGGGTTGGAATACCCCAGGCCTCAACCTTCCGGTTGGAATGCCAATATACTATGGGTCCAATCATCCTTGGGATGGAATACCCCAGGCCCACAACCAACATGTTGGAATGCCCACATACTATGAGTCCAGTCATCCTCGGGATGGAATACTCCAGGCCCACAACTTACAGGTTGGAATGCCCAAGTCTATTGGCTTTCGCACAAAGCAGATAAGCCTCAACCAATAAACAAACATGTGCACATATAACAGATAATCACATAACAGTCTATAGACAACAAACTGATCTACCGGATCATACCACATAACATATAATATTATCCTACCCTTTAGGATATCTAACTAACAGGTCATAACACATATCACATATTATCATCCTACCCTCTAGGATACCGATCTAACAAATCATACTAGCATAACATAACCAATAACAATTCAAAGGGCCGACCTTGGTGCCTTAGATCCTTGAGTATAGTGAGGAAAACTCACCTGACTAGTAGTGCTGAAATGATGAAATTCTAACCGCTGCCTCACTGGAAATCCCGAGCTGACACACATAATAAATACTAGGTTATTACCTGACATCACTCCCTTGACTAAGTGTCCATATTATTCATAAAGTCCATTTCTTTTTGTCGGGCCAAGGCCCAACACCAAGTCCTTATCTTGAAGGTCCATATTCTAAAGTCCATTATTGGCCCAATTTACCAAATTGGGCCCAACCTCCTTATTGAGCCTAACCCCATGATCCACTATCATAACCTGGCCCAAAATATCCTATTTGTAGAGTCCAACAAAGGCCCAAATCCATTTAGCCCATAAACCCTAAGCCCATTTGACATGAGCCTAACAGAGAGCGTACGCGGGGCGTACCTCTCTGGTTACGCTGGGTGTAATGCCGTTCTATGCTGACTGCCATCGGGATAGTTGACCCTGTACGCTGGGTGTATAGAATTTACGCTGAGCGTACGCGGGGTTTTACCAAAACCCTAATAAGTGCTTAACGACTTAAGCTCTTAAGCCCAAATTCCAGATCCATCGACCAAATATGCCATGGGACCATAAAGTTCCAGACTTTATCACTTTGGACGTCTAGAAAGTCCTTACTCATGGTCTTAACCCATTAAGACCTTCTCACTTCATGCATGGGACAAGCCTAACTGTTGGGAACTGATTTTTATCACTTAAGACCTCTCCTAAGGTCTAAAAGGACAACTCATTTCGTCTAAGACATCACATGCACCATCTTGGGGATTCTTGGGACAATAAGACTTTCATAAAGTTAAATGTATAGATCTATAACTAGTAAGCACAAAGTTTCAAGCTTTTTACCTTCTGGAGCTTCAATGGCACAATACAACCTCAGATCTATAGCCTTGCTTTCCTCCTCTAGCTCCTTGGTGCAATGTCTTCACTTCCCAAGGTTCAAAATGCACACCAACTCACACTTCTCACACACACACACACACTAGGGTTTGGGACGTTTTTCTGAGGTATGGAGGCTGAGGGTAAGCAAAAGAATGAGCCATAAGGATGATTATATAGTCCCCAACCCTGAATATTAGGGTTTTCATCGGACATAAGTACGCCCAACGTACTAGGGCGCGCCTAGTACGCTTAGCGTACTCCTTCCAGTCCCAAAGTTGCAACTTTAGTCCTTATACTTCTCGCGACCCAACACAACTAACTCCAAGGACCAACAATGACAACTAATAAAAGGAAGAAGGGTTTTCAAGATATACCTGCAAGGTTCGGGGCGTTACAATATAACTGAAAAAAACCAAGTAAACCATATTATGATTCCATAACCCGAATAACATTTACAATATGATTATAAACACTGTATTTTTTTTATTACTTTTATAGCTTATGATTCCATACACCAACATAACACATTCAAAGACAAACATAACACAATATAACATTGAAAGAATAACATTTACACAAGAGATTAATGTAATGATGCTTAATTGCTTACTTTAGTTTCTTGACTTGGAGCCCAATTTTTCCATGAATAGACAAAGTAGGAATTCCTGAATTCTTAGAAACAAGAAAGAAGGGTCGATTTCTGAATATATAGAAGAAGGATCGACACCTAAGAAGGATTTCGAGAATGGTAATGCTTGAGTAGGGAAGTCGACGTGTATATACTTTTTTTCTGTTGTGAAACCTCGACTCATTCACAAAAGGAGGGACATGGAACGATCGACTGAATTTCGATGTAGCTAGGTAAATTAGGATTAAAATTAAACGACTTTTTCAATTCCGGGCCAGTTATTTAGAACCGAATAAGCTCTTATTTAGGTAACTTGGAACGAAAAGCTCGATAATCGAATAAGCTGAAAATTGTAACGTCCAACTTTCGCAACAAAAAATTTTCA